GGGAGGGGTTTGAGATAACTGTCGTCTTTCGACTCCTCAGGTCCCTGGCCGAGAAGTACCGTTTTTTAACTCGGTTACGCGAGATGTCGACTGATTAGTGGCCCGAGTCGTATGTTGATGGTCAATTGAGAGGTTGGCCGAGTAGTACCGCCTTTTAACTTGGTTATGCAAGATGTCGGCTGATCGGTGGGCCGAATCGTATCGCTGGTGGTCAACCGAGAGGTTAGCTGAGTAGTACCGCCTTTTAACTCGGTTACGCAAGATATCAGTCAATCAAGTCGGCCGTGCCAAGTTGGACGTTATCCTGGTTGTGAATTAGTTTGGTTAGGCAAAATGTAAGACACGTGTCGACCTTTCTGTAGTGATTAATATTTAGCATTTTTAGGGGTTATCAAGGTTTTAAATATCGGATGTCGGGTTCATGTCGGATGGCTGAAATCCATATCGGATAGCGGAAATCGGGGATATATCGGGGGACATTGACTAAATATCAGATTGCCATATCGGGTAGTGCGCATATGTATAATATCATGTCCTAAATGTAATCTAAGCATTCATAAATTCAATATAAGCATACTTTATAAATTCTATAGACTAAACATATAAAAAGTAAATAATATATGGATTTGGGTTCATAAATTCTTTATATCGGGTTCATAAGGAACCCTTAAACATGAGAACGGATCAAACGGGTTTGGGTATTTATCACTAAACCCAAACCCGATAACAAAAAACAGATCTAAAAAAAAGTACTATATCAGTCGATTTTTCAAAGCTAAAAAAAAGGCTGATATGCCCGATATGACCCTGATATTTCCGATTTGGCCCTAAAAACCGATATACGAGTTGAAAACGTCCATGTCGTGTCGGTCAAGCCCTCAAACCGATATGTCGGCCGACATGTCCGACATGTCGGCCGATATTTAAAACCTTGGGGGTTATAACACATTCTATCGACCGTTAATTTATTCATTGCCTTCCTCAAAGTTCATTGCTCTTACTAGTTCTTCTTCAATTTCATCTACTATTATCAGGACACTCGGAGAGTGTTCTGAGCCATTATTTTGGTTCCACTTTCTTCTTTAAAAGCTCAGGGCCAGGGAAGAGGATCTATTTGCTTACAGGGTTAACTTCTAAGCTTGACAAAACATTAAGCGTTCACCCACTATCTGCAAGTTATGGCATTAATTATTTTTAGTTTTCTGTGATATGATATAAGTGAGTTGTTTATAAGTAAGATCGTGTATTGCCTTGGTTAAAATATAGAAAACCACTTTACCATTTTCTGTTTTTTTTTACTATTTCTGCCACATTGTTTGATCGAGCATATTATTCAACATAGCATGCATCTCTCGCAGTATTTCACATTTTTATTTTTCTATCTTTATGGTGCATCTTTTTATTTATCTTTCATAATGAAATTATTGGATAATCCTCTCGTGATTTTTCTGCAAAATTGTTTGAGCATTTGGTACTATCAGTGTAAGGAATGACAATTTGTTCATTGTTTTCTCTTATCACAAGTTGCAAATGTATGTTTTAGGTGATAATTAGTTTCCCCAGTCATATTTTCTAAGCGTCATTTTAATTTATATGAGGCTCTTGAAGAAATTCAATGCGACAGCTATACATGAATAGAACTGCTATGTTCTAATGTGTATTAATTGTTGAACTACAGCCTGTTGACTGAAGAATGAGCGGCACCTATATTTGGCAAAATTCATTTCAGCTGGTGCAGCATGCCTCCAGCTTCCTTTTCAAATTGCAAATACAGCTATCATCACTACGACCAGAAAGAACTGTCTCAAGCAATTAGTATTCATGATATTTCCATTGAAAAGAGCAGGGTGCTGACTCTTTTGTCATACTTTGGTGCTCTTACTCCTAGCAAGTTGGTGTTACTTTTTACTGATGAAGGTCTGTTCTGCTCATTCACTACTATTTATTTCAGCATGTATAATTGATAGTTTTTTTTTTACCCACAACTGACAATTTAGTTCTATAGAAATACACCTTTGGTAGGTGGTCTTGACGTATATCACTAAGTAAGTTTCAGAATATAGAAAAATTCCTTAACCGGTTCTATTGCTTTCATCTTGTGATGTTAATTTATTGTACCTTTTGCTATTACCAGGAGAATTTACACATCAGATATATTTTTAGCATGCTTGTGATTGCTATCTTGGCCAAATTCTTGCATTACAAGCCTGTTAGGCAAGGTGATTATCGGCTTTGTAGTGCTTAATAAAATGAGTGTTTTCTATAGACGACATTATGCATAGAATTAGCAAAAATTGGCTAATAACAAGTATCAGCAATATCTTGTTGAACTGAAGCATGCTATTGCTGACCTGTTCGAGTCAAAATTGGCAGAAAAACAACTAGTAGTATAAGAGGATATATGCGTGCTTGAAGAACCAAATCTGATAGCGTTACCCTAGAAAAAAAGAGGAAAAGAAGAAGAAGAAGAAATCGATGAATTACAAACTTGTGATGAATTGGCATATTCCTTTGTAAATAAAACAAGACATACACGATATCTAAAAGAATAAAATGGAAATTCTAATTTCTTTTTCCTAAAGATTAAAATGTAAAGTTCAAGTTGAACTAAGCTATTGTTAGTAGCGTCAAACATGCAAATACTATTAGCCCAAATTCAAACTTTGTATCCCAAAAGTAAAAAATCCAAACTGTTGGATATGATCTACTACGAGCTATCTAGAAATAAATTTCAAAGGATTTTAACATATTTTGCCCATGTCAATATGTCATGTTGTCAAAGTTAACTTTTTAGAATTTTCATAAAGTTGCCTAACTTTTTGCCCTTTGATACGTGATTCAGAAGAACACATCGAAACCTTTTGAAATTTTATTTCTTAGTAGTTCATGTGTAGTAGATCACATCCAATGGTTTGAATTATCAGTTTCGGGATACGAAGTTTGACTTTGGGCTGATAGTATCTATCTGTTGGATACTACTTACTAGTAATAGTAGCTTAGTTCAGCTCATTAATACATAATTACATATATTTATGTCTATATGTGGATACTGTAAAAACATTTAGAATGTAAACCATGTACTATAGAGCAACAAGAACTAAGAATAGATCAAAACTAATATTGATTGAGGCAGTGGAAACTTAGTTGTTGCTAAAAGCTAATATAATGGACACTATAGTCCTTAAGAAATCTGAATGAAGGAAAACAGATTTCACATAACCAAAGGCGAACTTTTGGGGTAAAGCTTCTGGGTAAAGCTTCTTTATTGATGTATAATCAAGTATTATTGCAATGGCAAAAGTGTCACTGTTGTAGTTTCTGGCTTAAGTTTCTGGCATACACTTTACGTGTATCTATGAAAATAAATATCGCAATACTAACATAAAATAATGTATTCAGGCATTTTTTTAGATCATTTGATTCCGTTTGTAACTTTGCAATACCATGCTTCCTTCAGATAATTTTGTGCAGCTGTGCTAGTGTTTTCCTCGCAGTTGATACAGCTCCGTCATGCTTAGCATCGAGCAAGAGTTCGCTGCTATAGTTAGTTTGCCTTTAGGTCAGAAGTTGTTGGATGGTAGCTGAATTTATGATGAATTTTTGTATAATTTAAAATTAAAATTTTCTGACCATTCAGAGTCCATTGTGATTATGCCGGAATTCGGGGTGCAACTGGAAACTTGTTATTGGAGGTATATTTTTATGCTTGGAAAAATTTATACACACTATATTGCAAATAGCACATGAGTTGGTTTTTCTATTTGATCTCCGTTCTTTAGTGTGCGTTGTTCTGATTTTACTTAAAAGTAAAAATGTACTGATTTAATGTAAGTAAGTAACAAATTAGTTTCTAGCTGTTTCACACGATTTCTAATGCGTTCATCTGTTTTCTTTTTTTCTTTTTCTTTTTCCTTTCTTTTTGGCCCCGAATTACTGTTTAAGGATTAAATCAATTACGTAGCTGTAAGCGGTAATAGATCCATGATTTAATTACGAGCTTTTATATAGCCAGGTTCTAATAACAAGCATTAATAGTTGAGACCCTGGTTGTTGTCTAATTCATATCTAAAACATAACCTCCTACAGAGTAAAAATCAAGAAACTATAATGTTCTAGTGTTTAAAAATCAAGAAACTATAATGTTCTAGTGTTCTTTATTCTTACTTTGTGCGGATATGTTAGTAACTGTGCATATGCATGTGATCTTGTGCATGGGGTAGTATGGAGGCAATGTCAATTGAATATAGGCTGAATATTCTCAAGCACAATACTGAGCACTCATGAATCCTTTGCCTTTATCTGGAGCATGTAGCATGATTATGAATTGAAACATTAAATGTCCATACTTATTCTATCACAACTGCTGGGGGAAGAAAGCTAAAAATCTGAACAACATGTCTTAGACTTGGTTTTCTCTAATAAACCTTCAATGCATCTGAAGGACTTTTGCGTTGTCCATTAACCTTCTTCCCGTCTTATCGCATACTCTCTTAATTAGATTGTAAGTGTTCTTAATAGTTTCATCTGATGCCATCTCTTGAGACTATCTTTGATACCTAAGGATTATACTGTTGGAATTGGCTGCTTGTTTCTGTCTTATAAACAGTCGTTTTTACCCCTTAGAAGTAATTGTCTTCTCTATGCTGTCATTCATCTGCTTGGACTGTGTGGCATCTCTAATTGTCATTATGCGGTCTCTATCGGTGGCATCCATATCTTGTGCATTGTCATTGGATGTCTAACATGTATCATCCTCTCCTTAATCAAGTGGGAGAATCAGCTGCCGGTTTGTCCCCATCAGAAAAATTCTTAGGCCGGTATTAAATGAATGTGTAACCCCAGTCACTTGTTACTGGAGCTTGGCTTTGATTCAACATGAGGAGGAATCACTTTTTCTAGTTTTCCAGGTAAAAAATGGGTTCAAAAGTGAAAACTTATTATAGAGCTATATCCAAACTTGTAATATCTTGAATCACCTCTACAGGAATTGCAACCACCTCTCACGATGTTGACTCCTGCGTGGAAGGCTCTTTGCGGTGCCACTGATTGCAAAGAAATATTTTCTCCATGAAGCTGGTGAGCCATGTCCAGGGTCAAACTAAATTAACTATAATTTTGTAATATCAAATTCTTTTGAGTCCTGTATGAACAGAGTGAGGAGTGCCTAGATCATTAGGAAACTTGAATAATATTTATGCATGTGTGATCTGCACAGTGTTATATCAAATGTTTGTCTAACATCAACATGCTTATCCCAAACTTCTAACAATATTTATATTATATGCATATTGTTGCCTCAATGCAATGTGACACCAAGAACTGGAGGTAGTGCTCGTCCTTACAATCTCAATATATA